ACGAAGAATGACATAAACATAAAAGATCGGAGGTCCGCGCGGATTTCTCGGATCCGCGCTGGGCCCCCCTGGCGGCGCCTCCGGCGCCGCCCGGGCGCCAATCCGAGAAATCCGCGCGGACCTCCGAGTTTCCCCGATCAGAGCTTGCCTCTGTAGGGGTCCTAGCGGATTCATATGGATAGGTAGGCGTGGCCGCCGATTTTCGCTGCACGCCCGGGTGCCCAGGGGTGCCCGGGGGTGAGGTTGGCCGCCGATTTTCGCTACACGCCCGGGTGCCCAGGGGTGCCCGGGGGTGCCCGGGTGCCCAGGGGTGCCCGGGGGTGCCCGGGTGCCCAGGTGCCCGGGTGCCCGGGTGCCCGAGCGTGCCCGGGGGTGCCCGGGGGTGCCCTATAGCCCTACAGCCATATAGCCCTATAGCCCAATAGCCCAATAGCCCTGTAGCCCTACAACTCTATAGCCCTATAGCTCAATAGCCCTATAGCCCTATAGCCCTATAGCCCTATAGCCCCCTATAGCCCCCTATAGCCCTATAGCCCTGATTGGGGCTTGTCTCCAGTATCATTTCATGTTTATGTCATTCTTCGTTCCCCTGTTCTCACTCTCCCCCTGGCGCGCCGCCGATCTTCCTCCTCCGGGGGCCCTGGCGGGGCGGCCGCCGCCGCCCGGGCGCGAGGCGGACGCGGAGGCCGCGGAGCCCGAGCCGGAGCCCGCGACGCCAGCGCTCCTGGTGCCGTACGCCTGGCGCGCGCGCGCGCCGCGCGGGCGGGTCGCTCGCCGAGGGGTTGGTCTCGCGGCCGCGGCGCGGGGTCGTCAGCGTCGCCGCCGCCGTCGCCGTCGTGCTCCCGCACGCGCGGGAGTGCCTCGCAAGGGGAGGAGGGCCTCGGAGGGGGGGGAGGGAGAGGGGGAGGGGAGTGGGGAGGAGGAGGAGGAGGAGGAGGAGGAGGAGGAGGAGGAGGAGGAGGAGGAGGAGGAGGAGGAGGAGGAGGAGAGCGAGGCAGGGGGGGAGAGAGAGAGAGAGAGAGAGAGAGGAGGGAATGAAGACTGGAGGAGGAGGGCTGGAGCGGCGCGCACGGGCGGGAGACGAGTGGCCACAGCCGTGTGGCGGCGGGTCTGCTGGTCCTCGCCGTCGCGGTCGTCGTCGCCGCCGCCGTCGCGCTCACGCGCGGGAGCCCACGCGGCTCCGTCGTCGTCGCAGTCGTCGACGTCGTCGTCGTCGCCGTTGCTGGGTCGTCGTTGTCGCCATTCGTCGTCGCCGTCGTCGCGCTCACGCGCTCGTCGTCGTCGCCGTCGTCGTCCTTCTCACACGCTCGGGAGCCGTTGTCGCGCGCACGCGCGGGGAGGACGAGTGAGAAAGGACCCTCTTGGCCAGCTCGGGAGACGAAGAGGATTCGCCGTAGCGGCCCAGGTGGAGGCGAACGGTGGTAGCGTAACCCGTCAGCCTCGCTTCTCAAGGGCGAGCGCCTCCGCACAAAGACCTCCGCACTGGATGGTGCGACGACACGTCTCGTCTTCGGTGTCATTTTCTTATTGGTCGATTAGGAGATCAATCACAGAATTGACGTACCCAAAATTGAAATATTCGCCGAAACTGGAAAAATCTCCTAGATCTACGAGATTGTTACCAGTGTGCTGTAGATTATACGGGGAAAATGGGTCAAGGGTCAAACCCGCGCGCCCGGAGGTGAACCCATGAAAGGCGCAGGCGGTGACAGTCTACTGCGTGTTACACACGCTTGCGCCCCGCTCCTAGAAAACAGTGCGTGCGCCAGGGATGGTAATCCATCATGTAGTCGATATACTACTCGAGCTGGTTCTCCGTATCAGCTCCTGAACCCGAGGGAGGAGGGAGGAGTGCGGAGGCTTTTTGTCTGGACTCCGGCTTGGCGAGCGCGTACCACAAAGGAATAGGGAGGGAGCGAGGATGGAGGAGGGACGGAGGGCGGAGGGAGGAGAGAGGGAGGAGAGAGGCAGGAGGAGGGAGCGAGGGAGGAGGAGGGAGAGAGGGAGGAGGGAGCGAGGGAGGAGGAGGCAGCGAGGAGGGGGAGGGAGGGAGTGCGGAGGGGAGGAGGGAGGGATAATGAGGAGGAGGGAGGAGGAGGAGGAGGAGAAGGAGAAGGAGAAGGAGAAGGAGAAGGAGAAGGAGAAGGAGAAGGAGAAGGAGAAGGAGAAGGAGAAGGAGAAGGAGGAGGAGGAGGAGGAGGGAGGGAGGGAGCGAGGAAGGAGGAGGGAGCGAGGGAGGAGGTTGGAGGAGGGCGGAGTGGGGGCGGAGGGGGGAGGGACTGTCAAAGGGACTGTCAAGGTGCAGGAAGGCCCCTCGGGGCTCTGACCACCCCGCTGCGAGCGCCGCCAGCCCCGAGGGGCCTGTGGGCCAGCGCGGCGGGCACAGCGGGCTTGGGCCCACCAGGGATGCGCCGGTTGCGAGTCTGGGCCTCCTCCGGGCCCCACGAGTCTCCCCCGAGGGCCTGGGCGGGCCGGGCAGGCTCCCTTCGGGGCGGGCCCTAACGCTGGACGAGCCTCGCAACCCCCCCCCCCTGCCCGGGGGCCGATTCCCCCGCGGGTGGGACAGGGCGCCGGGCGGTCGGGCGGGCTTTGCAGGCTTGGCCAGCGCTGGTGCAGGCGGGGAGGGAGAGGAGGAGGAGAGGACGAGGGACAGGGGCGGCGAGAGAGACCTGCTGGTGGTCGTCCAGGAGGCGGGACTCCAGGCAGCGAAACTCTGGGAGACACCTGTCCAGGCGCGCGCCTCCAAGAGCGGGACACGGAATTCGGAGAGGTGGGAGCGCACCAGGAGCATGACCCTGGGGTGGCAGGAGTCCACGAGGAAGGCCTCCAGGCAGCGGGACCGCAGGTATTCATTGGGGAAGCCATGCTCCGAGTAGACCTCCCCGAAGAGGCGGGACTCCAGGGGGCGAATCTCCAGGAGTCGGAGGTCCAGGCAGACCTCAGGAGAGAGTGAAGTCTAGGCGAAGCCTCAAGAGGTGGAGATCCTGGAGGCCAGCGCGCAGGCACGAGGTACGCCTCCTGGAAGGCGAACTGCAGCGACCTCCTAGGGAGGGCTCTCGGAGGCGCGACCCCGAGCTGGGCTCAGCGCGGGACGACGACGACGACGACGACGACGACGACGACGACGACGACGACGACGACGACGACGACAAGGACGACGAGGAGGAGGCAGGAGGAGGCAGGAGGAGGCAGGAGGAGGCAGGAGGAGGCAGGAGGAGGCAGGAGGAGGCAGGAGGAGAAGAGTGCGGAGGGAGTGCGGAAAGAGGAGGGAGGGAGGATGAGGAGGAGGAGGAGGAGGAGGTGGAGGAGGAGGAAGAGGAGGAGGGAACGAGGGAGGAGGAGGGAACGAGGGTGGAGGAGGCGGGAGGAGGGAGGAGTGGAGGGAACGAGGGAGGAGGAGGGAACGAGGGTGGAGGAGGCGGGAGGAGGGAGGAGTGTGGGAGGGAGGAGGCCGAGTCGCCGCCGCCGTCGCCGCCGCCGCCCGCGGACGTCGTCGGCGGCGGCGTCGGCGTCGGCGGCGGCGTCGCACCGCCCCGGGGCTCTGCTGCGAGGCCGAGCTCCCCATCGCGCAAGGCGGGGAGGGGGGGGGGAGGGGCGCGGCAGAGCCTCCGC